TTTTTTATAGTCTTACTCAGTGCACACACTAGAAAGAAATATCTTCTCTAAAATATCTACCTTGGTTAAAAAATTGAAAGTAATTGAATAAATATAAAAACAATCTGCATGAATTAAATGAAGGTGGGACCTGGAATGGCTCTCTCAGCCTTCCAAAAAATGTAAAATAAATAATTAAAGAAAAAAGTAAATACATTTCTATTTTTACTGTTGTATTTCACTACTGCTGGTCCTAGTGAGGCTTCTTATAATGTTTACAGTTTCAAAAAAAGTGTACATTTTTGCACTATTCTTTTAGTTACAGAATTTACAGTATTTTATAGGCTTACATCTAGGTTTACATATAGGTTTAAATCTTGAATTGTCAGAATTTGCTGAATGACAGCTGTTTTATTCTATTAGATTTTATATTTTCTATAGCCAGTCAATTTTAATGTAGAGGGGAGCTTTAATAGACATTTCACTACAATTGTTATTGTTATGTTTCGGGAAAACATTCTTTATGGATTTCAGTTAATTTTTGCTTTTGCGCTTGCATTTTTCTGGAGAACTGATAAATTATCGATTTACTTTGGTGCTTCTGTTATCTGAAACGTGAGATGAGCATTCCTATGGAAAAAAAGTACATTTGTGTTTTTTTTTGTGAGATGCAGTCCTTGGTGTTATGTTTTGATTTTGCTGGTAAAAATACATATTATTCACCCATTGTGCAGTTTCTGTTTAATGTGCTGTTGTCAGCATTACACTGTTAATGTGTTTACTATGAAATAGTTTCACTGATGTGACAACAAGCTTAAATACTGTGTATAGAGGATATAGGAGACCACTTGCATTTCTTGCACTTGCATATAGTTCTGTGAGATGATTAAACAATGTTGTTTTATAATAATAATAAACTTTATTTTATATAGCACCTTTAAAGGTGGCTTCTCAAAGTGCTTAACAGAATGACAACAGCAACAACAACAATTAAAAATAGACAAAAAATACACAAGATAAACACAATGAGAATACGCAGAGGAGACAGTAGATGGTGGAACTAAATATAGTAGAAGCAGCGGGGTGAAGAATGGAACCAGTTAAGTAAAGGCTCTCCTAAAGAAGAAGGTTTTGAGTCTGGATTTGAAGGAGAGAGTTCCAGAGCTAAGGGGCATAACAGGAGAAGGCCCTGTCACCCATGGAGTGTAGACGGGCTTGGGGGACAGTTAGGAGACCAAAATTAGAGGAGTGAAGGCTACGAAATGGGGAGTAGGGCGATAATAGATCAGACAGGTGCCAAGCCATGCAGAGCCTTATAGGTGAGCATGAGGATTTTGAAGTCGACATGAAACTTGACAGGAAGCCAGTGCAAGGACTACAGGATAGGAATAATGTGATCACTTGCACTAGACTTGGTCACGATTCTGGCTGCTGAAATTTGGACATCCTGGAGTTTGTTCAATGTGGATTTAGATACCCCAGCGAGTAGAGCATTACAGTAGTCTATTCGGGAGAAGAAAAATGTGTTGATCAGCTTTTCAACCGCAGTAAGTGATAACATAGGGTGTAGTCTAGTGATGTTTTTGAAGTGAAAAAAATATGTTTTAACAATATGCTGCACATGTGGGTCGAATGTTAAGCCTGAATTAAATATTTACCCCAAGGTTTGTCAATTTAGACTGTAACTCAAGTACAGTACCATCCACAGACAGGGTTGATGGGGGGGGACAATAAGCATGACTTCAGTCTTGTCACAGTTAAGATGAAAGAAATTTTAGGTAATGTTTTAGGTAATGAAAAGTGTAGCATTGAAAGCAAATAAACACATGTTGTCAGATATGCCTATCTGCGGGTCTGTACTTTTAAAATACCATACCTGTATTGCACAGAATCCCTAGAAAGATGTGATAAAGTGAGCTGTGTCTTCTTACGAGATATGCGCAGGACAATGAAAATGAGGTGTAAGATAGTTTTGATCTTAGGTTGGGAAATAGCATTTTGCCTGGCTACTGAGGATTCTAAGCCCCTGGTATGTTACAGTATAGCCATGTAGTCAATTCAAGTCTTGGGTGATGCTCCAGCTGCTTAGGATTCTAGAAATTGAACCTTTTTTTTGGAACAAACTGCCCAGTTATTATGTGTATGGCAGTTCCTTGGATCTTGCAAGAAAAATGATCCAAGAAAAAAAAGATTTTTTTTATGAGAAAACTTTTTTTCTTGAAATATTTGATGAGATTATATTTTTGAAAGAGCAGGGAGTAGGCATTTTCTGTTAAAATACTCTCTGACCTGACAATATTGTGCGTCTTCTATTATGTTAATGTAGTTATTGTGGGAAGCAGTAATTTGATTTTAACTCTACATTGCTTAGACAATTCAAACTAGTGATTAAGATGTTCAAAAGCTGTTTAGTTTTATATTGATATTTGTCCTAGGAAAATAATTATGTATTACTTTTTATATTTTCTGTTTAATTGACAAATGTGCATACATTTCTATTTGCAGAAAATGTGATCCATATTATGAGAGCAATAAAATGGCCAGAATACTGATTCATACTCAACCTATACACAGGTGATACACTCACCTGTCTGTTACATCTTACTTAACCTGTCATTATTATGTACTCATGAGCTTGAATTTGTACAGTCTGTACTCTTTCTGGTCTCTTTGTACAGTATAGTTTATTTTTATGGTGATCAACTCTAAGTGTATTATGTAAGTAGGTCTCATGGGAGCATTTTACAGCTAGCCCTTCCAGCAGCTTATCATATCTACTAGTTCATCTCTGTGCTTTACTTTATTCTGACCTGTTGGTGAATGAAATAAGCTTCCTCTGTTGTTATTTTACTAGAACCTACTTATATACAGTGGATTTAGATGAATTAATCTTAAGCTGTGGACAAAGTGTAGACATTGATTAAAAAACCTTCTGAAGAAAAAATATATTGTACTCTTTGAATGCTTGTGGTTTCTCTGAAGAATTTCTTAACAGTGTTCACATCTGTTCACAAGAAAGTTTTCACAGGGCTTGGATATTTATTTTATTCAAATAGGGAATGTTGTGTAACATTAACACATACAAAAAAAATGAATTGGAAGAAACATCTGTTTGCAAAACATTAACTTGCAGTCGATAATTCTAGGATTTGAACTCCACTGTAGTCATAGATTGAGCATTGTGATTTGTTTCATGCAGAGATGTTAAATGTAATGTTACTTCTTCTGAGAGGCCTCTCTCCTGCATAATTTCTGTCTCCTTTCCATTGGCTGAGGTACTTAGGGAGGGTGTGGAAAGAAAGTTGTTAATTTACTTGGCTGACATGTTTATTTAAAGCAATCTGAGCAAACTACTTTGTTCAAGGATACATCAGCAATGTCCCTTTTCTAATCACAGGCTAATCAAAAGTGTTCAAGGATCTATGAACCTTCCAATTATGAGCCGATATTGAAAACCTCCTTTTTGTGAACAGAGGTGTTGAGCATTGCATGTGCTGTCACTTCCCTAGTG